GTCCAGAAGACCTATACAATTTTTTTCTTTTCGATTTTTTACCTGGATTACTGAGACGCATCAGGCCACGACACTAAAGCAGCATGCATGGGGCGGACTATAGCCGTGTAGATCCATTTGATGACCTTCGGGGCAGCACTCCAAAGACTACATGCAATTCTACGGCGCTGGTGTAGGCACATTGCTGCCTTCTCACACTTTTCATTTTGTCTTTGCCAGTTAAGCTTCCTGTCTAGATAGACACCTAAAAATTAACCAGTTCTGACAAGGAAAAGTGAGTAACCTGTCCTTAATAACATATGAGCGAAAAGAACCAATTCTGTCTTGTCCCGGCACCATCTGGATACTGTGTTTAGTCCCCTCAGCATTAGGTTGCATACAGTACTCAGGCAGAAGCCTTCTGTAAGTATTCTGTAAGTCTTCTATAGGTATGACCAAGTCAGCTGCATACCCTTGTCTATGGAGGCGGATCTAATAAACTCACTTTGTAGGCTGTCGACAACCAGGAGCCAGAACAGGGGCGAGATTACTCCTCCCTGTGGACAGCCCMAGCTGAGGTTAACAATTCTCAAACAGTCCCCCAGAGTTGAAGATGCTTTCCTTGTCCAAAGCATGAATATAAGCCAGTTTGTTGTTGTCTCATCCCTGCCCTTGCTGGCAAGTGCTCTTTCTTTAGCTTCTACATTGTCTAATATCCCCTGTATGTCCAAGCAGCACTGCAGTGACGTCACTGGCCTACAAATCTGCATTACATGGGCTGCAAMCCSAGTTGAGATAAAGCCCGCCTACTTTTGAGAGTTTCTATTTTTTTATAAATCCTATAACTATCCTGAGCTATCCCTTAATTATAATGATGTGGGTTAGAGTTAAACCACATTTCTTCACAACAACTGTCTTTACTCTCTCTACGCTCCATGTTTATACAGTATATACACTAACTGTGTGTTTTCTGCTTGTCCTCTCATACAATTTAGATTTATTTTGTTATAAGACAAATTTTGTTGTGAAATGAYRGAATATAACTAAACTGAATTGAAATTCACTGACTTGTGTTAATTATGAGGTGTCATGAGCAGTATATTGAAACGTAAAGGGTTTGTTTAGGAGTATTCATTAAGTCATTGGAGATGCGTCATTTTTCTTCTGTCTAAAGGAAGATCCCAACGGTCACCTACAYCTGTGAGGAAATCAGTTCAGCTGCTCAGAAACACCCTCCAAAACACAAGTCTGCCAAGAACTGAAGTCACTTAAATCTCTGCTAGAAGAAACGCTTCTAGTGTGACTGAAACTTAATTCTGGAGGAAGGATTTATTATTAAACGAGACAAAGATCAGAGACGAGAGTTGTGGTGTTTGAAATGGAAAAAAATTTTTTTTTCCAGACCATTGTTTCAGCTGCTGAGCATGGAGATGACAGTATGATGTGCTGTTTGTAAAGCTACTGTCAAAAATTACCAGCAATATTTTGTTTTATTTAGCCTTTTATAAGAAAAAAAACTGGTTTATTTTTCAGTCATATTTTCGCCATGTTATTTATACATTTATACGTCATAGTTCCAAACTAATTATTTAATTTACAAGCTAAATGTTTAGTTTACAAACTAAGTATTGAAAAATATCAGGCTCAGTATTGAGTTTTTGCTCAGTGGAATTATTTCCGTTCCCGCACCAATTTCTTTCCCAGCGAGATCAAAGCATAAAGCCTTTTCTTCAAAGTTCCAAAATAAGTGGATTTTTTTTTTAATTGAACAAGAACCCTCTGTCTCCTCCACACTGAGTGCTTTGCAAAGTAGGATTTTGTAAGTTTAGCTGTTTTTCGCCAAACTAAAACTCCAAACTTCGGCTGTGCATTTGTGTGTGAAGATGCTACCTCTGGCTGGGCAGCATGGTGGTGCGGGTGGCCTCGGACTGCAAGGCTGCTGAGCCGGTGGCGTGGCTGGAGAAGCGCCGCTGTGACATCACTCTTGGCAGGAAAGCCTCGTGCTCGCTAACAACGCTGGGGATACTTATGGAGTCATCTAAAAAAAGAGGGAGGGGAAATTTAAGACAGCGAATTGAAATTTACAAACATTTTACATATGACAACTCGTGAAAGACGGAAGCGTTTCTGACTCTCTTCATCGTCCTCGTCTGTGCGGCTGAGCGTGTCCTGTGAAGGTTGGCGTGACGGCTGGCTGTCCTGCTCCCAAACGGTGCCGGTGCCCGTGTTGGATCGCGACATGGTGGCCAAACTGAGGCGATAGGCTGACGTAGAGGTGCCAACGGTGCTGATAGACGTCTTTCCTTGGTAGGCTGTTGATATAGATTACAACAAATGAAATCTYAGAACCCATAGTTAGGCTCTACAACAGGGCCTCCAAAATTCATAAAAAACTTCCTGGTTGGACTCATCACTGTACAGTTCTTTCATTGTCTGATGCCTTGACTTTTCAGAATTATGTTTTGTATAGYGGTATTAATTTATATTTTCAGATCTTCCAAGGTGCCAATTATGGAACTCTCTGTGCATTGCTGCCCAAATCAAATTTTGAAAGTGGTCATTCAACTAGATCTGTTACAAAAGGACAACTGATATTACCAACTTTTAAAAACTGTTAYGGCCAGAGGTCTTTCTTCTATGTTTATACTAAAGCATGGAATGACATTCCTCAAAACATAAAGTCCATTTCAAAACTACAGCCCTTTAAGAAGAATCTTGTCTGCCATCTGCTGGACACTTTTTGTTGTGCTCATATTTAGACGTCTTATTTTGCAAATGCTGCCTTCCTGAAATTTGGTATGCTTGTTTGTCTTTGTGTCTATGGTGTATAATGATGTGATTGTGATGCTGTATTTCTGAGTGTTTTATGTGCTGCAGAACAGGAACCTGCTGTAAAACAGCAATTATGCTGAGTCAGGCTTAATTTTTAATAATCTTTTCCTGTTAAATAAATAAATCAAATCAAAATCAATAGAGCATAAATGAAAAAAGTTCATAACATTATTTTATACAGTTCATTAAATCTGTGCAGTAGTGGTTAAAATATTGGTACCAGAGCCGCTGTGAACCGCCTCCTTGAGGATCTTCAGTTCATTGTTGAACTCAGCAAACAGCGAGCTCTTGCATAGAGGTCTAGGGATGAAGCGTCGCTCCAGCTGGTCAGCGATGTGGTGGCGTGCTGTGATCTCCTCCTGGGATTCTGCTGGCTGGGTCAATAACTACAAACACAGCACGGATGGTAAAGGAAATTCTTTCAAAGCAAGTCTGCATGATAGTAGTGACCACTTTACCTTGCATTGTATGAAGGGTCTCAGGAGAACAAAAATCGGGATACGGGTTCTCACGATGAAGTCAATGAAGTCCCAGAAAGCCAAGCCGCCCACTTTCCTCAGAGCCATCTCTTTGACCTGTAGGCTCAGACGGTACCACTGGTTCCCCAGCGAGCGCTCGAAGCAAACCAACACCACCTTCAGAGCTGTGGAGGGAGGAGGGTGAGAAACCGATGGAGAAAAGAGAAGGGGTCTCACTCAGGAGTCGTACCGAGATAAGCAGCCTGGCTGGTGGACTCTGCCAGTCCTTCCCTGCGTAGATCCTTCCCYGCATCGCCGGGCGTGGAGCAATGAGCCGGAGACGCATCCAGCATGAAGTTCTTGGTGCGGGAGGTGGAGATGATCCGAGGAGGCAGCAGGATGTTGATGACGGTCTGCAGCAGGAGGAAGATCTCTGGCTGCTCCAGGTGGGGGCTATCTATAAACAGAGAAGCACAGATTAAAACAGATAGCTCCTAACACTCTATCTGATCAACTGAAATAGCAAACCGCTATGCTAACAAGATGAGTATTTGTGCCCACATCTTGCTCAGTGCTATGTAGGTGCCGTCAGTTACTGCCAGAATATAACCGAAAACTAAAATAAGGTTATTTCTATGTGTTTTWAAAGTGATAACACAGTATACAGTATGATCAAGGATTTAATATGTGGCTTCATCGCAAACAGAACAGACATGTAGCACTTAGCAAGATGGCAGCCAAAAATTACAACCAAGTTGTAATTCCAGTGCTTTTCTGATTTAKTTGTTTATAGCCTTTCCTCAGAACAATTCTAAAATTCTGAACTAGCCCTTTAATWTCAAATATACAAATTAAAAATCCAATACCTTTGCTTCCAGAGCCCACAGTAAGGACAAAGGGAATAAGCAGGTTAAGCAGCATCCCTTCTCGCCTCTCCTGATTGGTGAAAGGTGAGATCACATGACTGAGAGGAAAATCTTCCTTCAAGGCCTGAGAGGGAGAAAACACACAGTTTAACAAGGACAGGCCACTGAGGATATTCATTCGCTAAGGCTTTATGTTTATATCTGTTTATATCAAGTGTGTGGACCTGGATCTGCAGAGCGACCAGCCGAACTACAGCCGTGCTGAAAGGAAGTGGAGGAGACAGGTAGGGACTGAGGTGGAGAAGAGGCAGCCCGTCGGCCACGCTGGAGGGACCAACCACGCCCATCACCTCGAAAACAAAAGGTAAGGTGTAAACAACGGGAGAAAATGCTTTTTCTATGAAAATGCTGTGCGAATGCTGAGTGCTGAATAAATGAGCTGAAACCTAAAAGAAGCAAAACACTAGCTAACAGCTGAAACACTCACTAAAAATGAGGGAAAAAATTAAATAAATAAAAAGTAACAAAATCGAAGCTATTGGTAAAAAAAGGAACAATTCTATCTTCAAGCTAAAAGTAGCAAGGTTACCTAAAACTAACAAAATGCTAGCTAAATGTAGYAAAACTCTAGATAATAGCTAAATGTAACAAATTACTAATTGTAAATATTAGCACAGTGGTGGGCAGCACTAATCTAAAAATTAGTTCCACTAGCCCTAAAGCACTAAATCAAATATTTACGTCCCCTAAATCTAAAACACTAATACACTGAAAGTTTTAGCAAAAGCTAATTCTAAAGCACTAAAATAACCCAGTCAACACATGAACATTCTTCAACAGACAACATGAGCCACATGTTGTCATGTTGCTCTGTTTTCATTGACATTCCACAGCTGGATTTGAGTTCATATATTATTTGTATTTTGGATCAGTGACACATATGAACAAAATGTGTGACAGCTTTCACCCTCAGCTGTTAACATTAATGTTGATCAATTACATTTATAGACCTCAGTTAGTGCTTMTAAATTTAGCCTATAAATTTAGCAAGTGCTAATCCACTAATAAAATTTAAAATGAGCAAAAGCCCTAAACTAATCAGGAAATCAGTTCCCCTATTAGTGCTTTAGGGGAACTGTGCCCACCACTGCATAAGCATTAGAATCTTTAGCATACAAGTAGTAGAATTAGCATTAGGAGAACTAGAATTAGCAATAGCAGTATTAACMTTAGATTCAATATTGTGCAAACAAGCATTCACAGAATGAGCATTAGCATTAACAGTAGAAACATTAGAGGATCACCAGTAGTAGAATTTGTATTGGGAGACCTAGTATCAGCAGTAATGGTGTTAGCATAAGTATAAGTAATAGTGGCAGCAGCAAAACTCCAATTAAAATACCTGCTAGCTTTCATTCACAAGACTAGCTAAAGCATTACATAACAATAGCAAAAAGCTAGCCAAACGAAGCCCATTCTTAGATAATAGCTACTCAAGAATGACAGATTTGTTTGTGGATTTAGAAAAAGCATACTGTATGACGGTGGGGACAGAGGTGGTGTTGCATGAGGAAATCTGGAGTGGCAGAGCAATATATTAGACTGGTACAGGACGTGTATGAGGACAGCAGGAAAAAGGTAAGATGTGCTGTAGGGGGGTGACAGTTTCAAGGGGGATGGGGGACACGTCCAGAGGAGGGACAGTGGGCATGTTGGTAGAAGAAATGCAGCTGCCAGAAAAAAGACAAATAGGGCCAAAGAGTAGATATAAGGATGTGGTTAGAGATGACATGGAGGTGTGAGGACARRGTGAGATGGAGGAGGATGACTTGCTGTGGCGAGCCCTGAAAAGGGACAATCTGGAAAAAGAAAAAGAATAATGACAGATATGTGACTTCTCCATTTTCGGGCTTCCATACCAGGTTGACGCAGACGTTGATCAGCGAGCGGAGGTGTGGGAGGAAGGAGATGATTGGTTGGCGCTGCAGAGTCAGGCAGATTCCCTCRATCAGGTTGCTAGCAGCCTCCCACTCCACCTGTCTCCTGGAGAACCGTGCAGCACCCCACCGTGACGACAGAAAACACGTGAATTAAAAAAAAGGTCTATGAGAAGTGGGATAGTTAAATGTAGCGCTTTAGTGTTTCTAAATCTTCTCTAATAATAATAATAATAATAATAATAATAATAATAATAATAAT